CATGTCACCTTGATCCTAAATTGATGTCACCGGAATCGTTTCGATTATTATGGCTACATAGTGAGAGATTGATTGTGTAGCACATTTCCCCGTACTTCAGATTTGGTGGGATTTATAGCGCTAGCAAGTTCGCATCAGCAGGTGCAAATCCTATCAACTCACCCAAGCACTGCATAATTCCGTACGGATATGAATGGCCCCAAATTAGTTTCAATGGTTGAAGAAATTTGTTTACCCTCTGACTCTTCTTTTCTTCTCTTCTCGTATAAGTACCTACCAATCTGGAATCAATTCCAAGGCATGGCGTATCCCAAAAGAACTGATAAATCGTGTTCTTTTCCCAGTTCTTTTTTTTTCTAGGGGAAACTGTGAAGGGGACCGTCAGCAAGAAAAAGAAAGCAAAAGGGACCATAGAAAACGTTGAAATTGAAGACCTTCTTTTCCCATGAGCTTGAAAATGGTACGACGCACAGCGCGGCAGTGAGAAGGAATGCGCTAGAGAGAATAGCTCCCATGGAGGGCGCAGACACCGTATGCTGCTAACGAATGGGAATGGCGGCGGTTGCAGCGGTCAGGGCGCGTCCTGGCTCTAACGCGGCTTGACAGTGCTTCCTCGCGCACTTTCAAGCCGCGTTAGTGACAGGCCTCCTGTGAGGGAGGAACCTCTACCACCTTGCGGTATAAATTGCCATAGTGCCTACTCGCGACCGGTGCCTTTGGAAAATCGCTCTTATTGGATTTTTTCTTCCGGCTCTGTACAAACTTGTTCCACTTTATAGCCGCCTTCCGGTTGGATCGGCATGGAAAACCGATCGAATGGAACAGTTAAGGCGATGGCAAACGATCCCTGCACTAACGTACACCACTTTCTCACTTGATGACGATATTAAAGTGAGTTGCATCGCAATGGAACTGGGATTTTCAGAAAAAAATTACTCCATATCAACCCTTTAGTTATACTATTATTTGATAGAAAAAAATGGTCCATTAAAATGCATTTGGAACAATATAACTTGAATGCCGTATAAAAATATAATAATAAAAAATGCATCATAATGAATTAACAAATGCAGGTCTGAATTCAAACTGGTTTCTGTTTGATTCGTTCGCTGCAGTATGTATGGTTGTGAATCTGTTGATAAGTTGAATATATTACACAACTGAATGGGTGAAGGTATCATATTTATATGCCTGTTCTATAACAATCTAAGTTTCTCGCCAAACTTTTTTTCTTAATGTTTCATTAAGATTCTAATGATTGTTTTTCCGAATTTCAGCTGTGTATTGTGCGTACTTGCTGCGGCGATAAGATACTGGATAAGTTGTTATAGTAGATAAATAAATAAATATAATAGCATTACCATAAAAATTTAAATTAACTACCAGGTAAAGATATTTAGGTAGTGTAATAATCTTTTTTTCCGTAGCTTTTGCGTTCCTAACAGAATAAACTCTTAACGGAGCACGATATGAGACAACACCTTATTAGGTACAATTCATTGAATTTCAGCCCATAATGGATTCATTTTTCAATGAAATGGTACGACTTGCTATTGACGATAGCCACGAACGCTCTGTTCCGAATAAACCTCCAGTAAGTCCTGTAGCCCCTCAATTTAGCTCTATTCGAGCCTTTCTGCATCCTCATGACTGCTCCAACTCCAGGTGCTTCACTGGACTCCTGTTCCCCTTGATATGGAAGTGCAGGTGCTTCTACGACTCAGCTTCCCATTGGCTGCCCCTGATCAGTCTTCATTTGTTGAAATTTGCCGATCATAGACCTCAGTCATGTTCGTCCTCTTACGAATGGACAGATGGAGTACTTCTCACTGCGGAGCCAGTAAGTACCGCATTGTGTCATACATTCAGTTGTTTTGTTTTTGTTCATATGCAAAATTAAATTTTTATTGATTTATATGCAAAATCAATAGTTTCATCATTTTATTGGTACGTTCCAATCCCATCATGTCGTTTATGCGGTATTTGGGCTTTAGGGTCGAACATTTTCAAAGCGGCAGTAGCCATCTGATGATTTTTCTGTGTTAAAAGTAGTGTATGGAAATGCTCACTGAACCTCAGATACCATTGCTTCGAGGTTTAGAGAGGCAATCATGGCATTACCGGCTCGCAACGGGCCCGTGCCTGTAGGCATACAAAACCAAGAGCATGCCCTAATTGACAATTCATAGGAAAGAGCAATGAAATTTCTATGTTCAAAGCCTGCTCGTTAAATTGCGCACTTCAAGAATCGCATTGCCTAAGCTTCCTTTCAGGTTCGTCTGCATGTGGAACGGGTATCTCAGAGTGAAATCGAGTTAACGGCTCGAGTATGCGTGGATGAGCTTGAAGAGGAGCAAGCCGCAGCACCAGCTAAACTCCTCTGGCCATTTTTAGCTGTGGCACTGAAGAACATGTTGAATCATCTGGACGAACATCAATTCCTCCAGTACACGGTAAGCAAAGCCTGCCATAAGTATCGTACAAAAATGACGGTTTTAAACGCTACTGAAGTATTACAACCCCAGACGCCTGCATAGTACAACCCAAAAAAGGTCGGAAAAAATTCTCTGGAATTTCACTCAGTGCACTCATCACGAGTATGACTTTTTTAGGCTTCATTTTTCGCCAGTTTTGCCTTATTTGGCTCGAAACTGTGCCAAAGTGGCGTCAAATAGCGTAAGCCTAGTCACATGCCCGAATCAGTGTAATGAATAGGAGGTGGAATTTAGTGAAAATGACTTATTAGCATTTGTTCGTCGAATCCTATGTATGTGCATTGTTATCACTTCTCTACAATCTGATACCGTGGGATACCAATGAAGGTTGGACCACACCTTCCCAGTTGATCTTTGAACTACTCTGAGCAGTGAAAATGGAGTTTGAGGGGGTACTCTGTAGTGCTCTATGTCTCTAAAGCTAAATCTCATTTGAAGCAGGCTTTTGGCAAGGTGTGGTAAAGTGTCCTACTGCCTACCATGTTACCCAAATCCGATCCAATTTCTTGCACAAGGTCAGTGGTGGCCACCTCCTCAAGCTTACCAAGGTGAAAATATTTTTCCCTAGCTGGGTCATTTCTCTGCACCATTCAAACCCGATTCAGCCTTACCTTTGTGAAAAGCGATACTTCAGATTAATCGGTTGCGTAATATCCACACTTTTGTCCATATACTTAGCGTTAGAGATACAGCGCATAAAGGCTCCCTCTAACTCCATCTAGAACGGAATCTATTTTCAATCATAGATCGGTCATTTCCATATTGGTATGGCTACTTATCTATGCTAGAATTCTTTACAGATCAGAATGATTACCACACCGTACGGAAACTCATTGTCGAGCCACCACACATCACTTAGCTCGGTATTAACAAAAAGCTTTGTTCAGAATGGAACGGATGCGATACGTAAAGTGGCGTTTCCGAATATAACGTACGCAACTTCAAATGTGATTGAAAGAAACTGTTTGACCAGCTGATTCAAAGAGTCATGTCGATCCTATTATCATATCGGAAGTTGAGAACTTTTGCGTCGAAAAGGTTGACTGCGAAGCTGGTTCTTCACTCAGTAGGGGGGCGGGGGCGAGCGTCGTTCGATAACGTGCTGGCGCACCTACAGGAACCTTATTTTGCTTCTCGTGGCCGGCGAGCTATTCGGCCTCCGTGTTTCTCATTCAGGCCGAAGCCTCATTTCCATGTGATTTTTTGGATACCAGGCGCATAGAGTGTCGCACCTACATGCCCCTCTCCTTTACTGAAAGAGCACCCTAAAAGCGACAGTCACATTGACATTATCATTCTATATATATTAATTACTGTATATTATTCTTATATTTATTCTATTATATCGATTTGCTTGATAATATAATGGATTTACCTCCTTCCAGATGGTCCATTTACTAGTCTTTCCCATCTTTTGAGTCTGGAACCACCACGACCGAAACGGGCCCAGCACCCGAACAGCATCGACGAGTCAACCGCGTCAAAGAAAAACGGCGATATCAAATCGAATGTTACTGGTTTAGCTGTCTCTCACAATCGAGGACGCCGAGTTTCTTTCGGTGAGCACTTCATTTTTTTCCCATCGTCCCGATCCTGACCGGTACATTCCTTGGGCGAAATATTGGTTTTTTTCGCCCAGCACCTGAAAAGCCTGGGTATGATGAGCGTAATATTTCCTTCTTTTCTTCCATATAAAGGAGCTTCGTGATAAATTGGTGTTTTCTCGAACGATTCTTAAGTGCTTCGCCTTGTCTCAATTGCCAAAGGCGCAATTGAGCAACGGCGAAGCACTAGAATCGTTGCGAGAAAGATAAAAGACGAGAATTGGAATGGGTAGAATCCCAAACGAAACTGTCCATTTTTCCTCTTCCGATTTCTTTACACTCTGTATGTGAGAGCTATAAGGAATATCCGTGGGAATGACTAAAGAAATCCCAGAACATTCAAAGCTTTTCAGCAAGGATGCTGCTAGAAGCGTTTAGTCCACTTACCAGAATTGCCTAACGGATTGCTTGCAGTCTCCTACACGCAGTGGTTCAGTGCATAAAGTCTCTGAAAAGTATAGCTGCATAAATAACGATTTCGGCAGGCGATAAATGGCAAAAGTTTTTTTTTCGCTTTGTTCAGAGCTCTGTTGTTCTTCTAGAAGCCCACAGATGGCAAAAATGACTGACTCCACTTCAAAGGTTGACCTTAGCTGTGGCCCCCGCCCAAAAGATCTGAGAAAGACGATGAGCGCCTCCCAACTCATACCTTCTACTTCCATTTGTTGTATAGATTTTTTATCACTGAAATGAATTCTATTAAAGGCTCGATTAAACTGATCAACGAAAATAACGAGTCGGTGAAAGGAGTTGATCAATACGTCGACGACATGTTGAAGCAGACGATGGATCACCTCGTGTTGTAGCCTTAACACTGTAATTTATTCAAATGACAATAAAGTTTCAGATGTATTTTTTACTACGCGACAAAAACATTCTAGGATGAGGGTTACGGTATCAAACAGTGTAGTACATAAACCTGCACACACAAATGACTTGTGAAGGCATATATATTGCGAATTTTATAGGTGAAATGGTGGACGAATATGGTAGTGGTCACAAGTGTTATGATTACTCTTTTTATATATGGCTAAATATCAGAGCCATGTGCCAGTGAAATAATAAACACAATGTTGTTTTTTGGGAATGCGCCATGTGTTCAACAGCAATCCATGATTGAACAAGCATTTGAGACCGCGTTGTGCTCTAAATACGTGTGATAGCCAACCGATGCTGATGTCGTCGAGCTTCACCTTCTGACAGGAAGGAATTTTGTGTACGGTAAAGTGGCTAAGTGGTTTTAGATTTGATTGAATTAGCTTCAGCACTTAAAGCTTTGATACCATGGTTGGAGACATTTTGACAAAAGGCGGTGACGGAGATGAGTTAACGACCCTTACTCCACCTTCTCGTCCAGGTGTTACTTTCATTGATCTTCTACCTTCACTGAAACCTCGAAAAATGTGTGTGATGAAGGGGAGAGGGAAATATGAACGAAATGAAAACACCAAATGTCCCGAAGACTCCTAGAATCCGAGAAAATTCAAAAAAAAAAACTTGGAAAAAAAACTTTATGGATCTTCCTAAACTAGCGCCAAGGATCCGAAACACGCGTCCAATTCTACTTGACGACTACTGCTAGGAAACCAAATGCGACTCTCTATTAAGAAATTCCCGCTGTTGGTTCACCCTGAGTGTGAGGGCGTGCCCAAGAATACACGTGGATTCGCGAGTCCGAGAGACAACGTAGTACCCTGACTTCATGGAATCACCTAAACATACAGTACAAGCCATCTATTCGAGCCGACGCAAATAAAAAAGCAAAGGAAAAAGCGAACAAGGGGTCAATGATAAATAATAATGACAAATAATAAATAATAACAAAAGGAAACAACGCTTATCGCTGTGCACGCTTCGTAGTGTACCTTGAACCCATCATTTGATGAAGTATTTTTCTGATGAGATGTCGGTCAGACTCTGCGATTGCATCGCGATGGACCAGTGCCGGAGCAACGCGATCGCTCCATCGCTTGTCCACCGCGATGCAATCGCTAGGCAGAGTTATAGCCCTCTTTCTAGGCTATAACTTCCTTCATATTCGAGCTTCTGCGCCGAAGTGATTTGATTTGGAAAATTCAAATTATTCTCTCTCCAACCATTAAAAATTCTTCGAAAGTTAATTTAATAAAAATTTAGTACGTTGTTACTTTTTTCTGTGCAAAGCGACTTTTTGACTTCAAACGATCATAACTTCCTTCAAAGTCATTCATTTGGGAAGCTGAACACGTATAATAAACTACAGGATTCAAGCTTTCTAACGAGCACCCAAGCGTTCCTGAAAGATCAGCAGTTCAAAAATTAGTCCCGTTGTTACTTTTTTTGAGGGGTATTCTTCAAGCCATTTTCTCGAAAACGCGAGTTTTCTTAGGTTTCACTGCCCGTAACTTCTTGGAAGACCAATTTTATGTTTAATTAAGGATGTGCTAGAAAGCTCCGAGCATGCGCTTGCACTACATCCCTTGCCTTGGTGCGCGCCACGCCTCGGGCGCCCTTCTAATTCGCTGATTCATTCATTCGAAAGCTCATTCAGAGGGAAGCGTTGTTTATAGATGCTCTAGTACCAGTCATCTTACGAAAACGTAACGTGCTGGCTATTATCCGATATTACCAAGAATCCCACTGTCGGCCACCGAGAGCGTACGACCCCCCCCCCTCCAAGCTCAACTGAGTACGACCCCCCCGTTGTTACTCGTAACAACGTAGGGTTGACCCTGGTCCTAGAGTATGTCGTCCTTTTTAATACACATAGTTATCTCACCGTTCTCTCTCATCTCTCCTCCGGCGCCCAGTACTCTTCATCTTGCAGCGTAATCGTCTAATGCCCTCCAGAGGTAATTTGAATGGCAATGCGCTCTCTGTCTAAGAGATGCAAGCTGACGGTCAGGGGGAATGTAAAAGAGGGCCGATGTAGTACACTAGGACTATTATAACCTATGCAGAAGAAGAACTTTCAACGTCATCACATAAGTTAGACAAACAATCCTACATCTCCTCCGCATAAATCCCTCCCTTCACGAAGGCATTGGTTCCAGAATATAAGTTGGTCTCACCCGCCCCCATGCTGAGCGCCCGGAAGGAAATCCCCGGATGTATGATGCGCTTTACATTAACAAAACTTGCCGCCACAGAAAGATCGGATCATTTGCAATAACAACGAAATTGCAACACCATAGTTTCTCATTGCAATGGATTCGGAGTGACATATAAATAACAAAATCCTGCAAGCAAAAATGGCCCCTGGTTTGCGATTTCCTTATGCGCCTCAAAAGCCACGAAGTCGATGCGCTCCAATCGACGGTTATGTAAACGCGCGAAAGTTGCGTTTTCAAATGAAAAACTCGGATGTCAGCAGATTCTCTTAAGATCTTCCGTTTTTACCTCTTGGTTTCAATCAGTATTTTGCTCTTAATTGTATTCAAGTACTGAAGTTATAATTCTCGGTTGCTGCTATCACTGTGACCTCTCTATACATTTTATAAATGATTACACTTCGTTAAATAGTGACAAAGCTTTCTATTACTTTTCTCTGAGCAAGATCTGGACGTGTCTGAATATAATTATGAGAGACGACTAGTTCTGAGTTCTATTTTTGAGAACGTCTTTGATTTATTATGAGTCAAAATTGAACTCACATTGAATCAGGTCTTGCATTAAAAATTGGTGGAGCTTGTTTTCAGCATTATAGACTTCTCTGAACGATTCGTAATAACTTCGTGACTGAACACAGAGAGTCTGATTATTTGTTGTATCGAACTGAGGATTATTTTATTGCTATACTTTGTCTATAGCTGTGCTAGCCTAACGATAAGCTACAAGAAATGAAAATTACTAAAAGTAACACGGTGATTTCTTGAGCGTAAGCAGTGTGGCATATACAATTGCTTGCGTAATCCAACTTTCTTCAACGTTGTAATTTCTGAGTAAACAAAGCGCAATAAAATTCAGTTTGAATGCAGAACGTTAGTCTTAAAAAAAAGGATAAAGCATTTGCCGTTGATCAATCCCTTTTGGGATGCGGCACGCATTCTACTTCCATTTGTACATTCGCAGTGGCATTTGAATGCGATGTGGCCTATACAATGACTTGCGGGGGCCAGCCGATGTTCAAGTCAGTGTTTTTATCCTCCCAGACAAGTCTGGTACCAATTAACCGACCCCGGAGGGGAAGGCTTGTATACCGGGCGACTCACGACCCAGGAATTGATCTCGGACCGCTCACGTGGTGATCCGCGGCCATTGTCACTTACACACTCTTACCGCCCTGGTCAGGACTTATTTTCCAATTTCTCTGCAAAATGCCCTATTTGAGAATTCCGATGAGCTAGTATTATTGGAATACTTTCTCCATTGAAATGCTTCGCAAGCTAAATTAATCTATTACTATTTAAGCATTCTAGCTTCCCTCTCAAATAAAGAACAACTCGGTGGTTTCTGTAAGGCAAGCGCTAAATGCACCATTCGCCAGCGAATCGTGCGGTTCAATTGCGAATGGACTGACATTTGCCTTTAACATCTAACGAGATTTTTATTGCTCAAAATACTTTCAGACTGTATCAACTTGTGCGTGGGTTCTTATTAGATGTCGTACCCTGCACTTGAGGGCCTTTATTCGGTACACGATGAACTCGGATCAGGAGGTGTGGTTATGATTGCCATTTTTACCGAGTACCCAAATGCAATTTTGCCTTTGACACATTGTTTTCTTCGATTTTCTAGTTTTCTTCTACTACCCTCTTACTTCCTTTGACTAAACGTCGTTTCAGGCTTCGGTAAGGTCAAGCTAGCAACACATTTACTAACTGGTCTCAAAGTTGCCATTAAAATTATTGACAAAAAGGCGATCGGTGTAAGTTTCGGAAATATCTGTTTTATTCTTCTTCTTCCTATGAAACTTTTTAATTTTGTACAACTTAATTGAATTCAGGATGATCTACCACGAGTTACAACCGAGTTGGATGCTCTCAAAACGCTATCACATCAGAATATTTGTCGCTTATATCAGTTTATCGATACTGAGGATAAATTCTTCATTATCATGGAGGCAATTTTCTTACTTCTTTGTATTTTTCCTTTTGATTTTGTTATGTGCATGGAATTTGTTATAGTTGCTGTTATTATTTCCCTTTTTTTATTGAGTAGGCTCATTTTCAGTACTGCAGTGGAGGCGAAATGTTCGACTACATTGTCCGGAAGGAGCGCCTTGAAGAATCTGAAGCTCGCCATTTCTTCCGTCAGCTTGTACAGGCTATGGCATATGTGCACTCAATGGGTTACGCGCACAGAGACCTTAAACCGGTGTGTCATTTCGAGTGAAACGAATGATGAAATTCTTCCTTTTTATCATCCTCAAAACGGATCAAACTACTCATAACAGCTTCAGTCGCCATCCACCTTCCTTTTTTGGATTTGACCTTACCTCTTCACTGTATTCACAGCCTTTGCTATCACGCTATTTTTGTTATTGTTATTTGCTTAAATTAATGGGTGTATAGTGCTCTCCTGGGTGTTCTGCTAGATCTGTGATGTGGTATCAGCTGAATCTGAACCCGGTTTTCGGTACACCTACACTGATACAGTAGTAGCTTTTAGGCCGATTGTAGTGAGTACGGAGTAGGAAGGCCGTGGAGAAGATAGACAGAGAATCGTAGTGGGACTTTCATCTTGTAGATGCTGAAGCTGGAGTCCTTCGGGCGTTGCCACCGCACCGAATGGCCGCCTCCTAAATCCCATCTTTTCGTCGCCGCCCCTTTTACGCCTT